CGGCCCGCACGCTGCCCGCACTGCTCCCGGCCCGCCGCTGCCGAGCCCGCAGCCGCCCGCGCACCGCCGCTGCTGCGCCCGCTGCCGCCCGCGCACCACCGCTGCTGAGCCCGCAGCCGCCCGCGCACCGCCTCTGCTGAGCCCGCCGCCGCCCGCGCACCGCCGCTGCTGCGCCCGCTGCCGCCCGCGCACCACCGCTGCTGAGCTCGCCGCCGCCCGCGCACCGCCGCTGCTGCGCCCGCCGTCGCCCGCGAATCACCGCTGCTGAGCCCGCCCCTACTACGCCGGCTCTCGCTGCCGCCTGCTGCGCCTGTGCACCACTGCATTCCTACTACTACACTTTCTGCTACTACTGCTTGTGCGCCACTACAGTCCGTAGGCCCCACCGGCCCCGCTGACCCTGCGCACGCCTTTTCAGTGACTTTACTGCTTCTACTACTGCCGCTGTCGCTATGGCTAGTCCTCCTGTTCTAGCTTTCGACGCCGAGGGCCGTCCGGTCAAATTCGAAACCTGGCTAGATGACCTGCACCTTTTCCTACAGCTCACTGCCAAGGAAGATATTACACTGTACGACCACGCTCTCGGCCATGCGACCGCCCCACTCGCTACTGCCCCCCCAGCTGAGCGCTCACAGTGGCAGACCCGTGACGCGCACGCTCGCTTTGCTATTCGCAACTCCCTGCCGCTAGATGAGCGCGAGCACTTCGGCCAGTGCAAGACTGCTAAGGACCTCTACACAGCTGTAGTGGCCCGCTACTCCTCACCCGCTTCTGCCACACTAGGCCGCCTCACTCTCCCCTACCTGTTCCCCGACCTAGCCTCCTTTCACACTGTCGCAGACCTCATCACCCACCTTAAGACTAGTGAGGCTCGCTTTCGCGCTGCCATGCCTGATGAGTTTCTCGCTAGCAACCCCCCCCCGCTCTGGATCACTCTCTACCACGTTGTCACCCGCCTCCCTGACTCTCTGCGCCCTGTCAGGGACCAGTTCCTCTCTCGCTCCCCCACTGAGCTCACCATAGCCCTCCTCGAGAAGGAACTGCTTGCAGCTGAGGCTAGTATCGTCGCTGTAGGCACCTCTCGTGGCGACCCCCGCGGCCCCTTCTTCGAGGGGTGCTCCCCTTCCCCCCTCCTCCCCTCTGTCGCCTCTGCTGCTGCTGTCGACCTCCTTGGTGCTGAGAAGGTCGGGGCTGCGTCTGCTTCAGGCGGACGACGCAGGGGCAGGAGTGGCAGGAGTGGGGGTGGTGGCGGAGGAGGCGGGGGTGGAGGTGGTGGCGGTGGAGGTGCGACTGGAGAGACTAGTGGCGGCAGTGGTGGAGGTGACAGCGGTGTTGGGAGTGGTGACAGGGGCGGAGGTGGCAGCGGAGGCGGAGGTGGTCGTGGCAGCGGCAGGGGTGGAGGTGGCCGGGGCGGAGGCGGAGGGGGTGGTGGTCGTGGAGGCCCGGGGGGCGGTCAGAGTCAGCAGCCTTCCCCGACCCTTCAGGCCGCCCGTGAGTGGTATGCGCGGCGCAGCGTCACCTGCCAGTACGTTATTCGTACAGGTGACCGCACTGGCCAGATGTGTGGGGGGCCGCACCAGACGGAGCGCTGCTTCGCCCGCCTCAACGATGCGTGGCGCACCCAGTTTCCTGGTGGGGGTGAGCTGCCGCGCTGGGCTGATCTGCTCAGGAAGGGTGTTGATATTTGGGCACTTGACTTTGATGCTATTCTCACTGCCATGTATGCGATGTCTATTAGTGGAGAGGGTGCTCAGTACTTGCGTGTTCCGCCCGACCCGGGCATTCAGGCCAGCCCCGCTGCTGCTCTAGGTGCTAGTGTGTCTGCTTCCACAGGTACTACTGCAGCTGCTGCTCTAGGTGCTTGTGCGTCTGTGCCCCCTGGTACTGAGTCGACTGCAGCACTGCACACCTTCACACTGGACTCAGGTGCTTCTCGCTCTTTCTTTCGTGACCGCACTGTCCTTGAGCCTCTAGCTCGGCCGGTTGCTGTCTCTCTTGCTGACCCCTCTGGGGGTCCGGTCCTTGCGACCTCCTCCACCACCCTTCCGTGTCCAGCGGTTCCGTCCGGCACACTCTCAGGTCTCTACCTCCCCTCGTTCTCCACGAACTTGGTGGCAGGTAGTGCGCTCCAGGACTCGGGTGTTCACCAGTTCACCCCTGCCTACGAGCGTGTGACTCACTGCACGTGTGCTCGGACGGGCCGCCACCTGGCTACTTTCACTCGAGAGCCGGGGTCTGACCTGTACACACTGACCACTGAGTCCCCTCAGGTAGCTGCGTCTGCGTCAGCGTCAGGTCAGCTGTCCGCCCCCTGCTCGTGTCGCTCTCTGGCGAACGACACTGTCCTCTGGCACCACCGCCTTGGTCACCCGTCTGTGCAGCGCCTGCGGGCCATGCACAAACGGGACCTTGTTGCTGGTCTTCCCAGGGTGCTCCCTCCCCTTCCTGACTCCCCTGCTCCTGACTGCATTCCCTGTGTCGAGGGGCGGCAGCGCGCCGCTCCTCACTCCTCCTCCTTTCCCCCGACGACCGCTCCCCTGCAGACGCTCCACATGGACGTGTGGGGCCCAGCCCGCGTCCGTGGTCAGGGTCAGGAGAGATACTTCCTGATAGTTGTTGACGACTACTCGCGCTACACCACGGTCTTCCCCTTGCGCGCCAAGGGTGACGTCCCTGGTGTTTTGATCCCCTGGATCAGCCGAGCCCGTCTCCAGCTAGGCGAGCGCTTTCACTCGGACTTTCCTGTCCTGCGCTTGCACTCTGACAGGGGTGGTGAGTTCGCCTCCGACCTCTTGGCAGCCTACTGTGCTGAGCACGGCATTGAGCAGTCGTACACGCTTCCGGCCTCTCCACAGCAGAATGGGGTTGCTGAGCGCCGCATTGGTTTAGTCATGGAGGTCGCTCGTACCTCCCTGACCCATGCGGAATACTGTACATACACGCGGGGGAACGGAACAAGGGCTCCCCGCGCCGCGAGCCACACCTCTTGCTGCGATCGCGTGCTACTGTACCGTCCTAACGATGCGATCGTTCACCCGATCTGTAGGTGGGCCAAGTGCCATGCAGGTGAGCTGTCAGCAGGCAGAATTTGTTGCTTGGCGTGGCGTGTGAGCATCAGATAGTGCCACACGAAATTTTCACTACGAATCAAGACCTTCGCAAATATACAGCAATGCATGCTGCAGATGTTTTTACTGCGAATCAGCATCAAAGGCTCCTATTCTTTACAATTGTTACGAGTGCAATTGAGGGAGCGAACGAAGATTGCACTATCGAAGCAAGAGTACAATGAGCGAAGGCATGAGCGAAGGATTATATAGCGAAACTACAGTGGTAACGGTAATGTGTGAAAATGGGGTGCGCGACGGGCCTAGCGCCGTGGTTGGGAATTGTCGAGGCGAAGGTCCGGAGCGCGGGTTACCAACCGAGCCGTGAGGTTGGGTCGCGTCGTGAACAGTGGCGGGAACAGTACCGAGGCGAGTGTCGCGAGTGGTAACGGATTACTGTTGGGTGCTGTTGGCGGGAACAGTGCTGTACGCGCTGAGCAGGGACGCGAAGTAAGGAAAAGGAATTTTCCTTACAACAATACATTGGCGACAATTTACATGAGACGAGATTTTGTCTTAAAATTCCCGTAATCAAGCAACCATATCCTCAGCGAAAGAGTGTATTCGGATGTCCCAGCAGTTGAAGTGTGCGTTGCTCACGTCCTTGCACTCCACTGCCATCTCGGAAGTGGGCATATTGAAAGGAAACTTTCAGGAAACTTCTCTCCGATAAGCGCGCAGAGTGTACCCCCGATACAAGTCTGAGGCTCAGCCTACACTTATAAAACTAGGCTGAAATTTCAGACAACTCATAAAAAAAACCTATGAAAAATCAGACAAGGTACATAAAATAATTCTTCGACTTCAGACTAGGCATAAAAAAGAAGTCTGAACGGACTCTGAATCAGACTTTAAAGTCTGATATCTAGGGCACTGGTCCCCTAGCAGCCCGGTCTCGCTTCGCGACGGAACAAGGCCATACTCGTCGCGTTCCGAGCGCCTTATCTTCAGGTCGTCGCACGGTTGCGAGAGTGTGTGTACGCGCCCCTGCATCCACTAGCTTAATTTGCAGTGAGAAAGGGGAAGCACGGAATCACTCGTCTCCCACCATGCCTCCCTCGTAGCCCGGCCTCCGATTCCCGCCACCCCATCTCCCCTTCTCGCCGCAAGAGTTCCCCTTCCCACTGTCCGATTGGAGCCTCCTTGCCGCCCGAAATCCACTTTTCGTAACCTCTCGCCTTACTCTTTCTTGCCCCTATCGCCTCGCGGTTCGCATTTTCCTCTCGCCTCCCCGCGCGTCCTCCTCTCGCATCCCCGCGCGCTCCTCTCGCTTTCCCCGCGCGGCGTCCTCACGCCTCCTCGCGCGTTCGACTCTTGCCTCCCCGAGCTCTCCTCTCGCTCCACGCGCGTGCGCCTCTCGCCTCTTCGCGCGTGCGACTCTCGCCTCCCCGCGCGTCCTCCTCTCGCCTCCCCGCGCTCCTCTCTCCACCCGCGCGTGCGCCTCTCGCCTCCCCGCGCGTGCGAATCTCGCCTTCACGCGTGTCCTCCTTTCCCCTTCCTTCTCTTCTCATCTAGCCGCAGTCGTCGCCCAACCTCCACTCGCTGCCTCTCCGCGTCTCGCGGCGGCCTCCCTTCGCGAGCTGCACTCGAATAAGGCCTTCGGCCCGCTCTAACTCTCTTGCAACGGCTGTGCTTCGACATCCCATCTGCACGCCCTCAAAAACCCCCCTTGAACGCCCTCACTTCCCCACCTGTACGCCCCCCCTTTCCCTCCCTGCTTGCCCTCGTTTCCCCACCTTGCACGCCCTCATTTTCTCCCTTGTACGCCTCATAATTCCCCCTTGCACGATCGCATTTCCCCCCCTCACTGCCCTCAATTCTCCCCTGCTTGCCTCATTTGCCAACCCGTCCCTTCCCTCTCCGTACCACACTGTCCCTTCTTCTCCTCCCGCTATGCCTTCTCCTCCGAACACCCCCTCTCCTCCTCCCACCATGAGTTCTCCTCCTCCCGCCCCCCCCTCTCTTCCTCCCACCATGCCTTCACCTCCCCCCGCCATGCCTTCTCCTCCTCCCGCCATGCCTTCTCCTCTTTTCGCCATGCCTTCTCCTCCTCCTGCCATGCCTTCTCCTCCTCCCGCCACCCCCTCTCCTCCTCCCACCATGCCTTCTCCTCTCGCCACCCCCTCCAATCCGCCCACCATGCCTTCTCCTCCCGCCACCCCCTCTCCTCCTTCCGCCATGCCTTCTCCTCCTCCCGTCACCCCCTCTCCTCCTCCCACCATGCCTTCTCCTCCTCCCGTCACCCCCTCTCCTCCTCCCACCATGCCTTCTCCTCCTCCCGCCACCGCCTCTCCTCCTCCTAACATGCCTTCTCCCCCCCCCCCCCCGCCATGCCTTATCCTCCTCTTGCCATGCCTTGTCCTCCCACCATGCCTTCTCCTCCTCCCACCATCCCCTCTCCTCCTCCCGCCATGCCTTCTCCTCCTCCCGCCACCTCTTCTCCTCCCGCCATCCCTTCTCCTCCTCCCGCCACCCCCTCTCCTCATCTCACTACGCCTTCTCCTCTCGCCATGCCTTCTCCTCCCGCCACCCTCTCTCCTCCCCTCACCACCCCCTCTCCTCCTCCCACCATGCCTTCTCCTCCCCCCGCCACCCGTTCTCCTCCTCCTGCCATGCCTTCTCCTCCTCCCGCCACCCCTTCTCCTCCTCCCGCCACTCCTCCTCCTCCTCCCTCATCTCCCCCCCTGCTTCCCACCTTTTCCCCGCCTGCTTCCCCTATTTCCACCCTCCGCTCCTCATTCCCCACCTTCTCAACTCTCTGACCTCCGCACTTTTTTCAACACTGCTTCTTTTCTCCCCCTCTTCTCCCCCCCCCCCCCCCCCCCCCCCCCCCCCCTTTACGACACACCTCACCAGCAATGTCATCATGGCGACGAATTCCTCGGCAAAGGCTGACGCTTGGGTTCAGGGTTGGGGAGGAGGTTTCCGAGGATGATGAACAGATTAGTGGTCGACGACATGTGCAGGGGTCGATGGCCACGGCAAGTACGGGTGCCATTTCTGCCCATACTCGTTCTGTTGCCGCTAGCACAACGCATCCCACTCCAAGGGTTCGTGCGCGAAGAGTTGTGCGACCAACAGGATTGCCCCCGCAGGTTCAACATGCAAAAGAAAGTTGGACAATTTCTCAGTTTGAAGAGCATTATGCCAAGCAGTATCATGTTCTTCTCAAATGGGCTCGCCAATGGCTCGGATTGTCGGAGGGGGGGGAGCACGAGTGGTCAGAGATGTAGTGTGGCGAGCATATTGAGAGTGTGCTTGGGAAAAAACACGGATGAGGACTCTGAAGGTCAACCTATGACCGCTAAGAACCATCGTTTCCGTTGCTACATTCAGTACTCTGCCTTGTTAGGTAATAAGCCCTTTGTACATGTGACTTTGCCGTGGCTAATCCACGTCGTGATAGGATCGCTCTATCCTGAGCCAACGGACGAGGGTTACAAAGAGTGCAGTCAAGGTGATGTGGACTGGTTCAACCTGGAATAAGTCATCCCTGAAGAGATAGATTTTGACATGAGGTCATTCGATGATAGGCATAGGACAATTGTCAAGCAGGAGACGGAGAAGTCTGCGATTTACTAACGGTTTGCTAGGGAGTATGGTCATACATATTCCTCCCTTCCCTCTCTAGTTGGCCAAATGATAATAAGTTCAAGGAATTAGCCCTATATGTGTAGTCAGGTCTGACACTTGGCTATCATTTCTTTTTCCTCCTCTTCGCTTCTTGCCATGGGGGCACGAGTTGCTCCAATTGCTGCCACTATTAGTAAAATTGCAACCGCATGGCGTTCGCGTGTTTAGTGCAGCAGCATTGCACTTGTTGTCTCCAGCAGTGCACCACGAATGCTCCCTGGCTGGCAATGCAGTGCTTGCTTACCCAAATGGTGCACAGAAAAGGGCCTTTAGCGGGGAGGGGCAGTTGAGAGGTGGGCAGAGGCGGGGAAGAAAGTGAGGGTCGATCTAATGGGCAGGCAGGGGCACCGGCGGGGGTGGGAGGGTGGGGGTGAATAGAGAAGGGCAGACTAATGTCGGAGAGGATGTTGTGAGCGAGGATAGGAGATGGGCAGACGCACACATGGGATGAACGTGTGCGCAAGTTATGAGCCTGAACAGGAAACAACGAGCAGACAGCAGCAGCGTCCCCATTCACTCACCTCATCATCAATCTTCTCCCAACAGTCCGTCCATGCCCACTTCCTCCCCTGCAGCATACGCACCATTTTTCGTCCCTCTGTCATTCTCCTTTCCTCCTCCTCCCGCACCTCCTCTGCTTCGTTGTCCTCCTCTCTTGTCTCTCCATTCATCCATTTCTCATTGTCCACCCGCCCGGTTCTCTCACCATCCTCTCCATCATTCCCTCCCACACCTCCACAGGATCGTGCATCCAAGCCTGCACCCGAGCCTAATTCCAAACCAATTCCTGGCACAACATTCAGGTCCGTGTGGGCCAGAGCAGAGGCTTGGTCAGGACGGCAGACGATGGGGGCTGGAGTGAGGCTACCAGGCAGGGAAGGGGCAGAGAGAGGCTGCTGTGACTCTGGCGCCACAGCACCTTCGGGTGGGGGAGGCAGGTGAATGCGTGTGTGACATGCGGTCGGTAGGATGCTGGGGGTGCGGAAATAAGGTGGGCGGGGGAGGAGAGTGGTGGGAGCATGGGAGGTGAGGAGGACCCAAGCCTGGTGCTGCTGCCACTGTCGCTGCTGCTGCCGCTGACACTGCCACTGGCACTGCTGATGGTGACTGTTACTGCTGCTGATGTTGTTGCTGCTGCGGCGGCTGATGCGGTTGCTGATGATGCTAGCTTCTTTGCTTCTGCCATCGACGAGGCTGATGCATCCTTGGTGGCTGTGAAGGAGAAGTGTAGAGGCACGTTAAGCTCTACATATGAGGGGTGGGAATAAGAGGGGGCAGCAGAGGATGGAGAAGGGGAGGAAGAGGTGCGGAGGGAGATATGATGGGGCGTGTTCAATGGAGAGAGGAGAATGCAGGAGCAATGGAGAGGGGAAAGTGATGGGGCTCGTTCACCCACCCTAAAAGCGGTTCCGACCGTACAGATGTGAGTTCTCCCCCCCTCTTTCTCAGCTTCCGTACATTTCCACCCCAGCCATCCCATCCCGAGACCCAAGTTTACAGTCTCCTACCCCCTTCTTCCTGCTCTTTCTATACGTTTCTGTCCCTTTTTCCCTTCTTTGCTCTTCACTTGCTCGTTCGACATTCGCCTGCAACGCGAGCAGTAGGTGAGGCCAGCAGAGGGTGAGCGTGAAGCTGGTGTCGCCCTTAGCGATGCGAGCTAGGTTACACGAGAAGCACTCGCCTGCGCTAAAACGCCAGAGGAATTGTAGTGGTCGAGGCGCTTAGCAGTGAGGCACTAAGCGGTGAGGCGCTTAGCGGTGGGGCGCGAAGGGGTGAGGCGCGCAGCGGGGCCTCATTAGGCCTAGTCGCGACACCACCTTGGCGCGGTATGATACGCGAGTCGCTACCGTCTCGCCTAATTGCGAGAAGGATTAGGCCTAATGAGGCGCTAAGGGGTATCATTAGGCCTAATGATACCTCGGTATGATACGGGGGTCGCTCTCAGCGGGGCGTTATGAGACGCGAGCACCTCGCTAAGGTGGTGTCGCGAGTTGCGGGTTCGGCGGTCGGGCATAGGGTTTGGCGAGAACGTCGCCGACGACGGGGGAATGCCGCGCGCCTCTCCGAAGGCCAGTCCTACATCTATCACGCCTTATATGCACGAGTCTATGCATGAGAGGTTGAGGTGTTTGTAAAAATTCTTACTCAGTAATCCTGCTGCCAGCTTTGTGGCACGTGTCGCCTTACCACCAGCGCTTCTTTTAGTGGTAGCGCTGCTCCTGGCCCCTCGTAGTCTACTTTTATGTACATGTATCAAGGCCTTACCTAGAAATTAGTCGATTATCCTTTAGTCCCTTGGTGTCACTCTAGGGGTTGAGTGTCGAGAGTATTTCTCGTGTTCGCAACTCTCAGCCTCCCAAATTTTCGCCTGGCCTCTCGCCAAACCCATTCGTTTTCGTTGGGGTTTGCTTTTGGTGGGTACTGTTCCAAAACCAACAGTAGTTTCTAATGTATACTGCTGCTTTAAACATGTTAGTAGCACATGTATACAACACCACACTTGTCCACCAGCTACTTCCTGAGTCGACTCTTGAAGCGGTGCCGGTATTTCTGATGTTGTGTCACGCGAATAGTCACGAGACTGTTCACGCTACTACTTGTAACACTAGTTAAGGGACACATGCTACAGTATCATTCACGCAACATAATATTGTAGTGACTATGACCAAACTACTACATGAATTGCGTAACTGGTATTATTGATTTTATCCAACACACCCCTTCAATTCTAGAGATTATTCTCGGAGTAGTAAAACTTTGATCGTGTCAAGCGCTTGGTAAAGTAGTCAGCGACCATTTCACTCGTGGGACAATAAGCAAGCTGAAACTTTCCTTGCTCGATTTCCTTGGCGAAGAAGTAACGCAAGGAAATGTGCTTAATTCGGTTGGCGAAACCAGACAAACGGTGCGAATTGCAGACATGTTGCCGCATAACTACTTGAACATCCAATAACTACGCTTTACTACCTTTAACTCACAAAGGTAGTAAAAAGTTCTTCCTTTGTTGAGGTACAGGTAGCGATAAACTCAGCCATTGCTGACAAAAGTGCACTCAGTGTCATATCTAAGAATACTGCGTTATTAACCAAGGAGCAAGGGTGATACATATAGGAACCTAATACTGTTGTTCCCCCTATAGCTAACCCTCATTACTGCCTAACACAAAAACATAGAAATATGTTTGACACACCCTCATAGGCTAAGTGAGGGATAGTAAGAAGCACAAATAGTCACAAGACCATCCAAGAGAAGAAACAAAACGAGGCTCAGGGTGGATCTCAAGTTCACCATACAGTTAGAGCACAAGCAAGCGGCCACAAATCCAGTTGACGTGCAATGTTATAATAGCACATGCAGTAGTACAGTGATCACAACCTAGCAAGAGCAAACATGCAGGTACAGATATCAATGTACAAGAAAAAATCAAGAGGTAAGTAAGTGAGCACAAGGACTAGAGCAGTGCAAAAACGCTGGTGATCACCAGACACAAGGGCCTTGGTGAAGATATCAACATTCTTGCCCTCTGAGGCCACATAAGAAAGACAAATTAACCACGCTGCTGCAGCTCTCGAACAAGAAAGTAACGAAGCGCAATGTGCTTTGTTCTGTGCTCAAGTATCTGCTTCTGACACAAGACAAAAATGGCCTTGTTGTCAGCGTATAGAACCAGCGCAAAACGTGGCCGCTTACCCAAGTTGGTGAGCAAGTAGGTCAGCCAGTGTATCTTTTGCGCAGCTTACATATAAACATGAATTTAACACATACCACCAGGCCCCCACTCCTACTAAGGGCACCACTGCTGCTGAGGTCCCTTGTGCTGGACTGCTGCTGCGGCTGCCCTGACTACTCCAGTACCCTACCGGACGCCTGGCAAAAGAGAGCTAAGACTAGGAACGGCTAGCTAGGGGTTGCTAGGAACCGGAAGGAGTGGCTAGGAACGGCCAGGTTCGCTTAGTGAATGGCCACAAATGGCTAGGAACGTTTAGTAACCCGAAACAATGCCAGAGGAAGGTAACGAGACGCTGTTGGGAGTGTCGTTGGCGAAGAGGATGGTGTGGTATGTGCTGCTAGTTGCTAGCGGTAGGATGAGATGCTGCTGGCGCTTGCTGGTGGTAGCCCAGCTACTATTGTCGACTGCTGGTGCTGCTGCCGCACTAGATGCTTGCTGTTGGGGGTGGTATGCTGCTACTGCCACGCGCTAGCTGCTGTTGCTGGCGCTATCTACTGTTGCTGGCCTTGTTGCTGCTGCTGGCTCTAGCTAC